CCTGGTCCTGGCAGAAGCCTGGGAAGAAAGTGAGGCAAGTGGCATAGGGAAGGCTCAGACACCCCTGCTACTCCTCCAAGTGGGCTGGTGGCAGACAGAGGCCAGAGAGGGCAAGGAACAGTGAGGGCATCTTGGGGACCCAGCCTGTGAGGCAAGGACCCAAGCCTGGACAGCCTTCCCTTGGCACTTGGAAGCCAACCACCTGTGACTCTGCACACTAATTCTCTGTCTGACCAGCACTCCCATCAAAACCCCTGCACCTGCCTGATCAGTGGCCCTGAGCACACCAGCACACTCTCTGGCCTCAGTTTACTCCTCTGGAGGTGTTAATGCTCACCTCTGCCCTGCCCTGTGGTCAGTAAACCCTTCTGAGTCAGGGTGCCCTCCCAGTCCAACCGACAGTGCCAAGAGCGCCCTCCAGGCCCCTCTGCAGCCCTGCCAAGAGGCCAGGCATGTTCGCCTACTCAGCACAACCTGGGAGCCGCGCCAGCGGTTCCACTCCTTGACTCTTGTTCTAAGTTTAAAAGGGTCTAAACCGCACCTTTGCATCTCTGGCTTGCCAGGAGCCAGGCCCTGCGCTGCTGCGCGGCTACGTGTTTTACATCTCTGAATGCACGCTGTTTGCCAAAAGAAGGACGCACACTCAGGCGAGGCACGACCTCCAGAAGCTGCAGGGACCCTCCAGCTGCTCTGGCTCCGCCAAGCGGAGGGTCGAGGATGGAGGCGTCTGACTGGGCGTGTGATGCACACGGTGCCAGAACTCCACACGCCGCAGTGCGCGCACACAGGGCCTGCACTCTCTTTCTTGTTGGGGTGTCACAGAGTTTGGGGAATGGAGAAGACTGCCGACCAGAGAACGAGGGCGGTGGCGTGGGAACCGGGACGCGTGGCCGAACTAGCGCCGTCTGGTGCTGAACGTGGCGCAGGCCGTAGCCCTGTGAGCCCCGGCGGGGGAGCGCTGTCCGCGGTGCTGCCGATAGTCCTCCGCGCAGACTGCGCTCAGCTGCCGGCGCCGGGAGCCGCCTCCATCCCCCCAGAGGTCAGCAGCCGCACTCCCTCCGTTCTCTGGTGTTCTCAGTATGCCGTTCCCTTTTTCGAGGGCTGAGAGTATTTCTTAGAGAAGATAAATGGCAAAGTTAGGTAGACCGTCCCTTGCCTTTTCCAGACTCTAGACTGCAACAGGGTGTACTGCTGCCGGCAGCTGCCGAGGGGATCCAGGGGTGAGAGGAAGGCGCATGGTAGCCTCGCTCCCCTTGCCTGTCTCTCCTTCCTGGGTCCTCCACACAGGGAGACCACAGGGAGATCTGGTTTGCACTCAAGAAATCAGAACATTTATTGGGGGGATGATAGTCCCCGCTCCGAATATCTCACATGGAGGCTGATGAAATGCTGGGTGGTTTGGGGTGGTGTGCAATTTGCATAAGGCAAACTCAAGGTGAAGTGCTACCCTTCCAGCCCTTCACAAAGCACCCTGAGAGACAGAAGAGAGGGGGAAAGTCCAGCACCCCGACCCCATACGCAGAGTGACCCATTTGGCCCATCAGGGGCAAGTACAGGGATCTTGGAGGTTCTGTGGAATCCAACCCCACAACTGACAAAAACAAATACCTAGGAGGGGTCATTAGACCAGGATGAGCTGGTGGCAGAGGTGGGCACTCTCCCTCCTGCTCATGTCCCCCAAACTTCAGAAAGCTCTGATGCTGGGGAAAGGATGTGGGAGATTTCAACCCCACCCACCCCTTTCCCAGGTTCACTTCTAGGACCTCTTGCCAACAGTTCCTCCCCCTACATTTCTACCCTTACCTCATGTCTGTCCCTGCCTCAGAGCCCATCTCAGTCCTCCATCCTGACCAACCTGCCCCGAGTGTGGGCTCAGCAGTGAAGGAGCACAGCTGAGGTCAGCGGTGTTCCACCAGCAGCAGAGGCATCTCCATTCCAGACACAGATTTCACCTGCCTGACCCAGCTGGGGTGCCACAAGTGAAGCTGGTGGCTTGGAGGTGACCCTAGATGGCAGATTGCACAAGCGAGGGTCCAATTGCCAATCAGTCACGATTTGGAGTGAAAGAACTTCTCTACAGCCCCAAAGTTCCAGGCTGAGAATGGTCATTTCTGCAGATCTGGGAGAGGAGGGGGTACCAGGCATCTCTGAGGCTTGGGTTGTTCCTCAGAGATGGGGATGGTGGGAGTGACTACCACCATCCCCTCTCTGAGCCTTGTCCACATGCAGCAGGCCCCTCACAAGAGAAAACACAGGGGCGGTGCCATCTAGGTCCTGCCCTTCTCCTCTGAGCCATTACCCTGCCCATGTGGCTCCTGTCAGAACACTGAGGGACAAAGAAGAGAGGGGTGGGAAGGAGGGTGGAAGGGATTGAGGACAGACACAGTGGATTTTTGTCTAAGTAGTACTCAACCCTCAGCACCCCGCCCCCAACAAAGGGAGCCTCTGAGGGTGCTTGAGTGTGTTTGGTGCCGCTGTACGTCATGCCATAACTTATTTCATTTCACTCACTATAGATCCCATCAACATCTTGTAGTAGATTTGCTGTTTTAATGGTAGTCATCACATATTACAGTACATCTGCATCACCTACAGCATCATTTTCCATGAATGTTCTTTGGAATGAAAGAGGACAGGATGCGTCCTCTCAATTCCTGACTTGCAGGTGTCTAGTGTGTGTGGAGGTGAGATCAGACCCTGGCCAGCCACACACACCCAATATGGTGTGCAACCGTGGCTGCTATTAGATGTTTGGCCAATTTTGATCCTCACCTAGTGACCTGTGCTAGTGACAGGCACTTTGTGTGGTGTGTGTTTGCAGGGGTGTGATGCTCTGTCATTCTGAGTCTTGAACACTGTAAGTCAGCTCAGAAGTACTTGGTACTTCTGCCCTGCCCTGCCCTGCCCTCCCCAGGGAATGCTCTCTCCTCCACTAAGAAGCCTTGCCTCCCTGGGGAGCAGAGGAGAAGTTGGGACTTGACAGAGGTCCTGGGTGCCCTCCTCCCCCAAAGAGTTAAAAGAATCAGAGAGGTGATCCTGCCAGGAGCTGGTGGTGGCTGGAGGGAGAGGGAGGGATGCCAGGGACTTGTGAGCCAGTGCCCCACTGTGTGGATCTGGGTTCTCATGAATGAATTCGTTCCCGTGTGCTGCATGCTTGTCAATGAGTGTGTGTGAGAGAAGGGGGGGGGGGAGAGAGAGAGAATATGGGGCGTGCACATCTATATTCAAACAGCTGGGGAGGGGGAGAGAGGAAGACCAAGGTGGGGGCGGGAAGGAGATAATTACCTCCCTGCGATGAGAGATTACCCACCTCCTTCCCTAGAGGTGATTTATAATTTAAAGATAAAGAATAATCAAGTCCTGGCAAGGAAGGACACAGTGTTGTGGGTCTGATTAGAATCTCGGGATGGTCCAGCAGCGGGGAGGGCGGAGGGGGCGGGGAAGGGAGAAAGGAGAGGGAAGACCTGGGCCTCCCCCAGCCCCAGCCTCTCTGAGGCTCAGCAAGTCCAAGTATGGCCCAAATTACAGCCGATCGGTCCCCCATTATTTCTCCCAACTTTTAATTTCTGCTTCCGAAGGATCATTGCCCGCGGTAATTGCAAAGGACCCGTCCTTGTGCGCGGAACAGGCTCCGGGGACCGCAGCGGGAGGAGGCGCGCACAGTCGCCGGAGCACTCGACCGCGCGTTCACACCCTGCACACACGCGCGCGCCACCGCCGGCTCCCATCTGGGTCCACAGAGGCGGGTCGGCTTGCTGGCGGGCTCAGGAGGATAGAGACACGCCGGGAAGTACCCGCCATCCCGCGCTTGGACCGGGAACGCAGGGCTCAAAGCTCAGGGCCGCAGGGCCAGTGCTGCATACGTCGCCGTTGTGGACGAAATGTGCACAAATACTCGAGCCGCAATCGGCCTTTCCTCACTCTTTCAGACATGGGAAAGGGGCGTTTGCCGTCTTATTTCTGGAAGAAACACACATTTTCCCTTACTTGAGGGGTATTGGTTGTTGTGTAGGCCGTCTGTCGTTGGCATGATTTTTCGGTACCCCTTTTGGGGGCCGATGGCAAGAGAACTGTCCACCCTTCTTGGTTTTCGATTCCACTTATGACGAGCAACCTCGGGGCCGCCAGCCCCGCCCCTCGCGGGGACTCGGCCTGCCCTAATTTGACAGCGCAAAGGGGGCGGGCGCCCGCGCGGGAGGAGACCCAGGGGCAGAGACCTTGAGCTAGAGCGCGAGAAGCGAGCGCGAGCAACCCGCGGCGCGACAAAGATTCGTGGAGCCTGCGGGAAGGGGCCGAAGACCCTACAGAAACTCAGAATCCGCGCCTGACCCGCCCCAGGGGCCCGAGCCCAAGGCCCTGTGAGCCGGGCCGGAGGAAAGGCCCTTCCCGGTGCCGCATCCTGTGCGGAATGTCCCGGCCAACTCCTGCTCGCCCACCCGCGTGCCCCGGGGCCTCCGCGACCCCTCAGCTGCCGATTGATCCCGCAATTATTTAAAAGCTGGTGCTGTCTCCTCCCCCTTCACGGAGGAAACAGGCGTGCCGTTTCCAGACCAGCGGAGGCGCAGCGACACGCTGCTGACCGCGACAGCTGCCGGCGAACTGCGCTCCGGCTCTGGGCAGCGCGTCTGTYCGTCCCGCCCGGAGGCTCGATCCGTGTGTCCCGCGCGGGGTCCGCCTCCTCCGCCCGGGACCGTTCGCAGCCAATTAGGCGTGCGCGCTAACGAGGGCGGCGGAGCCCCGCGGCCGCCTGCGGGCGCACGTGTGTGCGGCGTGTGGACGCGTGGGCGCCTCCGGCGGGGCCGCCATAAATGCGCGGGCCGGGCGCGGCGGGCGCCTGAGGCGGCAGAGGCAGCGCCAGGCAGTACCGGCGGAGCGGGGCGCGGCGCCGAGAGCAGCGGAGCTGTGGCCGCCCGCGCGGGCCAGAGGCGGCTCCCAGGCCGCCAGAGATGGGAGCCCAGTAGGCGGCGAGGCCCGAGCCGCCGGAGCGGCGGGAGGCCGGCATGAGTGCCAGCGGCACGGCCGCTCCTGGGGACGTCCCCGCGCTGCCGCTGCCGCCGCCGCCGCCGCCCGGGCCCGGCCCGGGGCCCGTACCGCCCGTTCCCGCCGCAGCTTCCCGGGACGCTATGGACGGGCGCGCCGAGCTGCCAGCTTTTCCCCGGGCCGGTGCCCCTCCGCTCGCGGCCAGTGACACTGTGCCCGCGGGGCCCGAGGCTGCTGGAGCGGCCCGGCCCGCCGCGCCCCCACGCCCCACCTCCTTCTCAGTGCTGGACATCCTGGACCCCAACAAGTTCAACAGCAAGAGACGCCGCTGCCTGCTGCTGGGCCCCGTAGCACCCGCGGCGTGCGCCCCGTGCGCCTCGGCCCCGTGCGCCCCGGCCCCCGCCGCCTCCGGACGCCCTCAGCGCACCGAGGAGCTGGAGCGCCAAGCCCTGGCTGCCGCCGGGGGAGTCGGAGCTGCCACCGGAGCTGAGCCGCCCAGTGAGTAGGAAGGGCCGGCTCCCGATCGCTGGGGCAAGGGGACCTGCCGCCGCTGTGTGTTTACGCTCCTGGGACCCCAAGACGAACTAGGCCTGGCTAAAAATGGCCCGGGCTGGGTGGAAAGTTCGTAGAGCGCGGGGTCCGCTTCCGGCCCATCCGCGGCCTCCGTCCGACCCGGACTCCAGGGCCCACGCTGCCCTGCGCCTAAGGGAAGGCTCCGCGAGGCCAGGCTCCAGGCCTGCGGGGCTTCGAGGCCTCTTCAGGGCTCACTTGTGCGCGTCTCTGGCCTTGGAGGGTGGTTGGTGGTGGAGGCGGAGGAGAGGCGCGTAGCAGCCGGCCTGTGACCTCCCCGCCCCCACCGTGGCCGCCGAGGCCTGCCGGCCTCCCTCGTCCTCCCTCGTCCTCTCTCTCTCTCTCTCTCTCTCTCTCTCTCTCTCTCTGGACAAATCAGACTAATTGTGACAAAACGCTGGTTATCTCTGGAAAAACAATTAAATCCCTTCGATTACAGTTAAGGGGAAATGTGCTTAGCGGCGGAAAGCGGCCGGTAATGGGGCGGCCCGCGCCCCCGGTCCGGTCGATATCCCATTACGGCGCATGCATATCTCTTTCAAGCACCTTGCAAACTCCCCCCGAACATCTAAATTATAGGGTCAAAATTCGGATAATTACTCGATTAAAACCTATTACACTTATTAGGGGCCGCTATTGATCGTGAATTGCATTCGACCCGCTTCTGATTGCTTTTTGTGTCCCTTCTCCCGCCCTTCCTCGCTCCAACTTCCCGGCCCCTGTGCCTCACAGGGAGGAGAGGGCTGGGGCTTCGGGCTCCGCAAGAGGACCGCCTGCTGCTTCCGCACTAGGTGGAGGTGGAGGGAGTGCAAATCCCGTGGCTGGAGGGTGACCCCAAGGCTCTCCCAGGGGGGTGTTCTGGAAACAGAACCCATCACTCCAGGGCCCAGGCTCTAGCTGTGCCTGGAGGGAGCAGGCTCGCTGGGAAGGGGAGCAGGGACAAACCTGACTGGCAGGGTCTGGGATGGCTTGGGAAAAAGCTCCTGCCCCTACCCAGGCCTTCTGGTTGGGAACCAGGACATCTGCTGGCCTTCATGTAACCTGGGCCAGTTGCACTGGAGGAATCTGCCAGGAGTAAATTCATCATTTTGGCCTCAGGATCTCGATGCCAATCTGACCTGGATCAGGGCCTCGGAACCCGGCTGGGAAGTACCAGTGGAGACTACCTATAGGGCTCCTCTGGTGTTCATGCCACCTGTGGGGTGAGAGGCATAGACTGCCTTCAAAGCATTGCAGGAGAGAGACCTTCTTCCAAATTTCAGAGACTCAAAGTGCAGCCACATCCGTGGCCTCTGCTTGAAGGATGCTGGGCTGCTGCTGGCCAGGCTTCTGCCTGCCCCTCCTGATCAGATCAAACGGACAGACCAGTGATGCTGGGAGCTGGGCGAAGGGCCTCCACAGGCAGGGAGCAGGCTGAGAGGGCTGAGGTGCTCCGTCCCGCAGGCCCAGCGAGGGAGCTGTCCAGGGCAACTCATTTTGGCCCTCAGGAGCCCCCTGCTCTTGGCCTCCCGGCCCCACCCAGGCCTCTGGTCCGCAGGATACTAAATGGCCAGTAATTGGCTGGCCCGAAGCCGGCTGTAATTGGAGGGTAATATACGCCGAAATAAATTAAATGGCCTTTAACTAGTTTGTACATTACACAAAATGAGTTTAATTAAGTTTGTATCTGCCCGGGGATCGATCCGAGCGCTCCCTTGCTGTACACTCCGCAGCCCACCGCCCAGCAGCACACCGCGCCCCAGGGACCCAGGCACTGGCTGCGAGTCGAGSCGCGGGCGTCCAAGCGCCGCTCTGCATGAGAGGGACCCTTCCCTCCTCAGACCTCAGGATATGAGGAAGGGGCAGAGAGGAGATGCAAATGGGCGAGAAGGATGGTTGGGACGAAGGGAGGGAGACGAAAGAACTATGGAAAAAGGAGAAGGCGAAGGAGGAAGATGAGACGCCGAAGAGGAAGAGAAGTTCCCGCAGGGAGGGAGCGGGAGGACGGGGCGCGGCCTGACCCTCTGTCTTCTGTCCCGCCCGCCCGCAGGTGCCGGCGACCCCTACAAAGCGGACGAGGCGGAGGCCAACGGCTACAGCAGCGGCGGCGGCGGCCACAGCCCGAGCGCGGACAGCGGGGACGAGGCGCCTGACGACGAGGACGATGAGGAGCCGGAGGCGCAGGCGGCGCGCGCCGCCGAGGAGGCGCGGGGAGGCGGCGGCCTCGGGGCCCGCGGGTCGGGCTGCCCAGGAGCGGTCGAGGCGCAGGTGCCCCCCAGCGCAGTCGACGAGGCCGCAGCCCCCGGGCCCCGCGGAAACTCGCCGGGAGCCTCGGGCCCGCCGGGAACCGCGGCGGCGGCGGGGGTCACTGGGACCACTCCGCAGGGCGCGGCGGTGGCGACCAAGCCCAAGCGGAAGCGCACGGGCTCCGACTCCAAGTCGGGGAAACCGCGGCGCGCGCGTACCGCCTTCACCTACGAGCAGCTTGTGGCGCTGGAGAACAAGTTCAAGGCGACGCGCTACCTGTCCGTGTGCGAGCGCCTCAACCTGGCGTTGTCCCTCAGCCTCACCGAGACGCAGGTGAAGATCTGGTTCCAGAACCGGCGAACCAAGTGGAAGAAGCAAAACCCGGGCGCCGACACTAGCGCGCCGACCGGCGGCGGCGGGGGCCCGGGACCCGGCGCCGGGCCGGGCGCGGGGCTTCCTGGCGGCCTCAGCCCGCTCAGCCCCTCGCCGCCTATGGGCGCACCGCTCGCCATGCACGGCCCCGCCGGGTACCCCGCGCACGGCCCCGGCGGGCTGGTGTGCGCCGCGCAGCTGCCCTTCCTGTCGAGCCCGGCGGTGCTCTCGCCCTTCGTGCTGGGCTCGCAGACCTACGGCGCGCCCGCCTTCTACGCGCCGCACCTCTGAACCGAGGCACCAGGACGCGGGGACTTGGGGGGCTCGGCTCAGGMGGCCTCACGCCCCAGGCCGACGGCCGCAGGACCCTGGGCTCTTTTCTAAGGTTTCAGTCGTTTGGCTCTGTACATAGCCAGTTCCTACAGAAGAGTTTTAAATTTATAAGTGACCGCGGGTGGGGCCGGGCAGGCGGCTCTCGCCGCAGAAGCACTTTGATGAACTTTGCTCAATAAACCCAGGAGGCCGTGCACACGACTCACAGGCTCCCACGCTGCCCCGTGTCAGGTCCTCCGGATCCCTGGCCCCAGGCCGCCCTGAGAGCCCCCTTTGCGTGGGAACTGAAGCACCCTGTGGGGTTTGGGAGCCTAGTATCCCGCAGTCAGGGCTTCGAGCCCCTGAGCACCCCCTTTTGCTTGGAGCTGAGGTGCAGAGGCTGGCCTGGTGCTCCAAATGAGTCCCCTTCCTGCGTCCTCTCCCAGTGAGAATGGTTCCTTCCTTGCCCGGTCCCAGCAGCCTCCAGCGCAGGGTTCCAGGGTTCCTCCTAAGGCTCCTCTCACCACCTGTAGTCCTCCTCCTCCCCTCTCGCCGCTCAGCCCCACCACCCTGGCGCGAGCAAGGCCCCATCAGGTGTTCTTATGCCGTGACTAGGAGCCAGGGTGCTCCTGTCCGCTCCCCAGAGAAGGACAAGGGTTTGGGAGGTTGAGCTACTGGCCCAAGGAGCTGGTCTAGAGGAGGTGTTGCCGCCAGCGCCACTCTTCTCCATCAATGCTGCAGGTCCCCCTGCGGGCTCCTGGAACCTGGGAGCCAGGGCTCACTTTGAGCCATCGGCAGCAGATCCTGCCAAGATGTGTCGTGACACAACAGAAGAGCAACCTGGCAGGGACTCTCCTGGGAGCTTAGTAGGGGTGGGGCCAGAGTTCCTTCTCCAGGTGTGCAGGGATCCCGACTCCTCTGTGGCTCCCTAGGTTGGTGATGAGCTAAAGGCCTCTCAGAGGGCACTCCAAGCTGGGCTAATCAGCACCTGTCATTGTCATTGGGGACAAGGCTGCAGTTGGGGGAGAGAGGCAGCAACTGCCACACTACAGGAGAGAGAGGAGTGCTCCTACTCCATTCTGGGGTCACCAGTAGGCAAATGACAGGCAAGGACAGCACGACCCTGGGCGGGTGGGGGCAGAACCCCCTCTGGGGGCCCCCAGCCTCGGTCCTCCTCCCACCCCCTGTGTTCTGAGGCTGGCTGCCCGGGCACTGCAGGCCTGTGTAGGCTTCCTGGCCATCCTGCCCTGAGGCTCATCAGCCGGGGAGGCTCTGGCAAGACCAGGCTGTTGCTGGCTTCAGAGCTGAGGATGGCCTCAGTACATGCATTGTGCTGACCAGTAAGCCCAGCCTACAGATGGTCTGCATTTGTCCAAATGTAACGGGAAGGCTGCTGGCCTCACAGCGGAGGCCCCTGGGGTGAGATGTGGCGGGGGGCCCTCACAGGGAGTTCCAGAAGGCTCTTGGCCTCTACTCAAATCAGCAGAACTGCAGGTCAGGCACAGCGGCCACTTCTCCACGCCCAGCAGCCCCCACCTGGAAGGAAGCTGGTTCACTCCCTTTTTGCCACCCACCCCCCTCTGCCAGCCTTGCTGAGCTCAGCTGGAACCTGCTGGGACACCCCAGGACTTGCAGCACGAAGAAGGATGAGAGGCTGGGGCAGGCAGATAGACGCGTCTGGATCGGCCCACCCTCTGACCCGAGCTGTGATCCAGCTCCACCTGCATTGCTGGCCCTTCCTGCTCTCCCTGCACCTGCTTGCAGGTAGACTGGTGCAAACATTCCTGGAGGTGGAGCAGCATCAGACTCAGATGAAATGCAAATAGAAGCCCTGGCTGTGCCCTCCCTGGCCTCTTCCCCACTGTCCCTGCTGGTCATGCGGGTCCAACAGCACATACAGTTAATCTGTCAAGGTTCAGCCCCAAGCATGGTGGCCACCCCTCTGGGCTCTCCGGAAGCCCTAGGCTGTGGGAGGGGGTGGAGGGTGTTGGCTCGGAGCCAGGAAGCCTTGGCAGCCATGTGCCCACCGTGCACCAGCAGCTCCTGCCCCGCCAGCCTCCTGCAGTCACCTGGGGGCTGCAGGAGTGGGGGCTGCCTCCCAGGCTTGCTCTGATGCACAGCCACTGTTCCTGAAGCCTCAGTCCTGGCCAGACCCGTGTCTGCCCACCTGAGCCTCCCTGAAACCCTACAGTGACTGTGCTGTGGCCACCTGCACACACACCTGAGGGGCTGAGGCCCAGGAGGTTAGGGGTTTGCCGGGTACCCCGATCCCTCCTGGAGATGCCATGCCAGGCCCCTCCAGCCTCAGCTTCTCCGTCTGTGCCACCAGGTCCCCAGGTCCCCATGGAACTGGGGAGGTTGGGGATGCAGGTTCCTCTGGCTACTTCCCTCGGAGCCCTCACGTTGGCCACCACCTGGCTCTGCCCAGTTCTCAGTTGGTCCTCGGGTGCATGACTGGTCTAGCCCCAGGAGCCCTGCTGGAGGCAGAGGCAGCCATGGCCCCTCAGGAAGTCCTTCCTGGGACTCAGGGCCAGCTGCCCACGATACCTTGACACCTCTGCCCTGGACTTGTACCCTCTGCACAGGGCCTCCTGTCAGTGAGCAAGGCCCCGCCCTGCAGGTAGGGACCCGGATAGGCACAGCTCACCTGGGGGGGGGGGAGGCCTCCACCCCGTCCTGCCCAGGGTCCACTCAGCCTGGACAGGAGAGCGCTCACTGCTTCCCACCCTCCTGCCTGGCCCACAGCCCTGCGAGGGGCTGAGTGGAGCGGAGGAGGACGCTGGCCTCCTTGTGTGTGAGGGGCTAACAGGGACAGGCCTGGGCCCGGCCACACCTTCGCAGCTACCAGACCCCACTCCCTCCAGGGCTCTGTGGCACCAACTGGACTAGGTCCTCAGCCCACAGCCCCCACGGGAGTGGGAGTCCAGCCACCGCATCCCACCCAGCCACAGGCACCATGGACAGACGACACCCCTTCCTTTCAAGGCACCTTCCCCAAAACACACAACACAGCTGCTCCCACCTTACTGGCCAGCGCTTGGTCATGGCTGCCCTGAGTGAGCGGGGCCCAGGGAGGCGGGTAGAGTTTCCTGGGCCACTCTGGCCCCAGCCCAAACCCACAGCCTGACCCCACAGGCCGCCAGTCTCCTGCTGGCCCTCGCGCCAGTGCCTCTCTTCCTCCCGGGTCCCAGCCCTTCCCTGCAGCTCCAGAATGCCACTCCCTAGGCCCCAGCAACCCGCCTGGTCCACCCCCTGCTCCTGGTGTCCCTCAGGGCCAGCAGCCTTAGGAAGAAGCAGAGCCAAGCCCCTCCCACCCTCTTTCCTCCCCCACCCCAGAAACATCCAGGACCCAGCCCTACCCCCAGCTGTCCCTGGCACCAACTGCCTGTCCTTTGCCTGGGGACATCCCTGGCCACTTGGTGGCGCCCCCTCCATGTCTTCCCTGGTGTCTGTGTGCCTCCTGGCCCCCAGCAGGCCTGTTCCAGCCAGCTGTTCCCAGGGTGCAGCCCCTTGCGCAGGCTGTGTGAGAGCGCAGCTGTGTGAGGAGCTGTTGGCAGGAAGACCAGCCCAGGGATGCAGAGCTGACCTGTGAGGGGAGGGGCCACTTCAGGACCCTGTCACCCACAAGTGACGAGCCTGGGTATCCCCCCCAACTCCTCCCAGACAATCTTGCATGGGACCCACCTTTGGAGGCAGCTCTCCTGCATGCTCACCTGTTCTCTTCCTGGCAAACAAGGGACAACCACAGTTGGTTACCCATCTCCTGGGAAAAGGACTAATTCCCACTTCCTGGGCAGGCAGCAGCTGGACCCTGCATGTGAGTATGTTCTGGCCAAGGTGACATGAGCAGAGTGTGTTGGGCCAGAGAAGTCCCAGACAACTAACTCATAGGAAATGTCTCAGCAGGCAGATGTACCCCCTCATTCCTTCTGTAGATCCTGTGATAGCTGGAGCCCCAGCAGCTACTTTGGGATGTGAGGTAGCCTTGAGGATGGAGGCCTCATGCTTGGATGCTGAGCCAGCAACAAGAATGAGATAAGTCCCGAGGGTACTCCGAGACCTCCTCTCCCTCAGCTTAGGGATCTACCTTTGGACTCTTGATTGACAGAACACGTCTAACCCTTTGGGTTTACAAGCTAATTACTTAGTTTTCAGTTCCGTAACCCTGACCCTAACATCCCATTTCCCTTATGGCCGTCCACCCTAGCACTGAAGCCATGACCCACACCCTCCCATCCTCCCTGCGGCCACCCCTTACACCCACCCTCTGCTGCCCTTTTCTTAGCCCAGAGCAGCACCCCGTGGCCTCCCCAGCACTGAGTCCCATGACTGGTGTGGCCTGAAACCTGCCCCGCCACCTCCGCAGGAGGCACAGTTCAGCCTCCCCTGCTGCCTCGTCCCCAAGAGCCCCACCTGACCCTGCTATCCCAGAGCTCTGCAGGGACCCCCTGGCCCTGGCCACCCCCTTCCCCTTCCCTCATCACCGGGGAGTGGGCAGTGCCAGCCAGGCACGGTGGTGCACACCTGTGATGAAGCTGAGGCAGGAGGGTGGCAAGTTCGAGGCCAGGCTCCACAACTTAGCAAGAGCTGCCTCAAAATTCAAAGATTTTACAAACGGAGCGGGGACGTGGCTCAGTGGGAGAGGAGAAGAGCATGGGCGTGCGTCCCTCAAGGTTGCCCTGGTACTGCCCAAGAGGACCCGCCAGTCTGGCCGGCAGGAAGAGGAGACTCCCGGCCCTGGGACCTACGTCCCTTGGCCCCTCCAGGAGGGCATAAGGACTGACAGGTCCTGCAGTGTCCTGGAGGCTGGCCTCCATACAGGGCCTGGGCGCAGAGAGGATGCTGTCCAGGCACATCCCGGGCCCAGCCACCCCACCCTCCCCTCCTCACTCCGCCCACACAGCTGCTCGGGTGGACGGTGCGCGGACAGCACCAGGGGGGCGGTGACTTCTGAATGAAGTCTTCTGATGCCTCATTTC